CTCAACACGTTTTCCGGGTAAAGACGGTATGGGACGGAACAACTTGTGAACTTAACACGTCCACAAGCCGGGTAGGGAAGAAGAGAACCTTCAGTCAACACCTGTCGATTCTGCCTCTATGAGGAAATGTTGCGGTTTATATAGCGGAGCTTGGTAATTAGTTTTGCCCTTTCTACTGTCGATACAATCCTACTTCATGGGTACTTCACATTTTGTTTCGGTGCTAATTTGGTTCGCGCGCACGCTGGTTTAACGGTGATGGCTTGGACTCATCGTTACACCCCCTCTTCCTGGAAAAATTTTGTTCCAAAATTTTTTTATTTTTAGTCCTTGCCAGGTACTTGGTTACCCTAAAAAAATTTACAATACATCGAAATAAAAATGTCCGCCCTAAAAAAAATAAATATCGTTTTCTTAAAAAAAATCGTCTTCCTCTCTCTTAAAAAAAAACGTCTTCCTTCGTGGGACTTCAATTACTGGTTTGTATCCTCAGCACCCGGTTCGGGAGTCTCAGTCTGTATTTTTTTCCTTTATGCTGCGGCGGAATTAGTGAGAGCAGCGGGATTGACACTGGAATTGACTGGACTTTCTGAATTTTTGTGATGCCCATGGTTGGTTCATCGAAAAGGTTTTTAAATTTGGAAATAGCCTTTATCAGGGGCTCGCAGCCTTTGCCCGGGGTGTTAGGTTTTGGTGTGTTCCCCAATGGTGATATTAACTCTGGAACGGTGTATGGTGGCGGCGTAACTGTGTCGTCCATTTCTATGTCACTGTAATATATTTCTAACGTGTCTGACATTATATTTGAAGGTTACTGGTAAACTGTATTAAAATATACTGTCACTACTTGGTGTTGACTGTAAGTGCTTGGACTGATTAAGGAGTAGGGAAATCGGTAAATGCGGGTTTTAGGTCTTTGATATGAGCTGTTATTGTACGGTTTTTATCGTCGTGTTTTAATTTGAATATTACATTAGAACACACTTTTGTTATAGTATATGGGCCTGAAAATTTCGGTGCTAATTTGGCGTTAAAATTTTTGGCGGCATTTGAGAGTTGGTATTCCCTTTTCATGACTTTGTCGTTTATTGTGGGTTTCCACTCTCTTCGTCGTAAGTTGTAGTAATGGCTTTGAGTTGTAAAAGCTTTTGCCAGGTTTGTACGTACTAGTTCGAATGTTTCTCGTAGTTTATGCCATTTTATGTTTTGATCGGTATGTTGTGTGTCGTTTGGGGTTTTTACGACTTTACTTGGAATTTCTAGTTCGTGTCCAAAGTTCAGGAAGGCTGGGGAGAAACCCGTAGAATCGTGTTTAGCTGTATTATATGCGAATAGTAGTTCTGGAAGGCTCGTGTCCCATTTCTTATGGTTATTATCGCAGAACTGAGCTATCATTGTTTTGATTACTCTGTTTGTTCTTTCTACTGGATTATTCTGGGGTGAATATGGCGGAATGTTTCTTTTAGAAATCTGGAATTCGTCTAGCAACTTTCGTACTTCCCTGTTATCGTATGTTCTTGCGTTGTCTAATATTAGCTCTTTGGGTGATCCGAATCTCATAATGATTTTATCTTTTAAGTTCTGACGGACTGATTTTGCTGTTGCTGTTCTAATCGGCATGGCTTCGACCCATTTTGAAAAGGTGTCCTGGAATGTCATTATATATTTGTTTCCTTTGCTGGATGTTGAAAGGGGTCCTATGATGTCGGTTGAAACGGTGTGCCATGGATGTGGGGGAATTTGTGTAGATTGCATGCGGCCTGGAGTTAAGCTTTGTTGCGGCTTAAATTGTTGACAGTTCTTGCAGTTCCTGACGAACTTTGCGGTGTCTTTAAACATCCCTGGCCAGTAGTATTTTCTAGCTAGGCGGGTTATTGTTTTAGCTATTCCTAGATGTCCTGCGGTCGGTTGCTCGTGGTTTTCTGCTAGGAGTTGTTGTCTCTTGTGGTTTGGGATGCATAGTTTCCAGGGGTTGGATACTTCTGTCTCTTTTAAATCGTATTTGTCCCAGAAGTGTCGATAGAGAAGTCCATCTTTGATAGAGTATTCTGGAAATAGTTGCGGATTTGTCTGGATTTTATTTAAAGCTTTATTGTACCATTCGTCGGGTTCTACATCTTCTACGTTTATTATGCAAACCAGATCTACTGGTTCTCTAGAGAGCGCGTCGGCCAGGACGTTCTGGGAGCCCTTTCTGTAAATGACATCGAAGTCAAATTGTTGCAGCAGCATTGCCCATCTAGCTATTCTACCTGTAGGGTTTTCCATTGTTTGTAAGTATCGTAGAATTTGATGATCTGTGATAATTGAAAATGGGTATCCTTCGATGTAGGGTTTCATCTTTTCTACACCGAAGATGATCGCTAGTAGTTCTTTTTCTGTCACGCTGTAATTTTTTTCGGCATTTGTTAGGTTTCGACTTGCGTAAGCGATGACTTGTTCCTGTCCTTCGTCGTTTGTTTGTACTAAAGCTACTCCTAAACCGTGGTTCGAAGCGTCCAATTGTAAAAAAAATCTTTTCTGGAAGTCCGGGCAGATCAGTATTGGAGCTTGTGTCAGTAGTAATTTTATTTTGTTGAATGTTTCCTCTTGGTCTCTGTCCCAAGTCCAATGTTGTTTTTTCTTTAGTAGCTTTGTTAAAGGGGCTGTAGTTCGTAAAAAATCTTTTATAAATCTCCTATACCATGAGATAATGCCCAAAAATCGGCGTAGTTGTTTAACGGTTTTTGGCGCGGGATATTCGACTATAGCTTTTGTCTTGTTTTCGTCCACTTTTATTCCCGTTTTGTTTACTACATGGCCTACATAATTTATCTCTTCTTTGCAGAATTTACATTTGTCTATATTAATTCGTAGTTTGGCCTGCTGTAGTCTGTGAAGTACTTCTTTTAAGTTTTCCATATGTTCCTCGAACGTTTTCCCCAGTACTATTATGTCGTCTAAATAGGCGAATGCATGTGGTTCCATTTCTGGGCCGATTATTGTATCTAGTAATCGTTGAAAAGTAGCGGAGGCGGCGTGTAATCCGAATGGAAGTACTTTGAACTGGAATAGTCCTTTTCCTGGTGCTATGAAAGCGGTCAAGGGTTTGCTTGCTTCGGAAAGTGGTACTTGCCAATATCCATTTTTTAGATCTAACGTGGTAAAATATTTTGCAGATTTTAACTTTTCTAGGATATGATTGATGTACGGTAATGGGTAGGCATCTTTTTCTGAGATGTCGTTGATTTTCCTAAAATCGATGCAAAATCTGTATCCGTTGTTATCCTTCTTTTTTACTAGGACGATGGGGGAACTGTACGGGCTATTAGATTTTTCTATCACGTTCTCTTCTAGCATCTTATCTATCTCATCGTTTATGATCTTCTGCATTGCCGGGTTTCGGGGCCTGTATCTTTGTTTGATCGGTGTATTTTGTTTGAGTTTTATTGTATGTTCGGTTAGATGTGTTGTTCCTTTAATTTGTTTAAATTTCTCCAATTCTGTTAGTAACAATTCCTGTAATTGTTTTTTTTTTCGGTATTGTTTAGTGTAGTACTGATGTCGAGTTGCTCTCGTTTCGGACTGTTCGTGAATTCCGGTATGTATGACGGAATATCTTCGGTCTGGTCGTCGGCCGCGGTATCGGTCGGTAGTTCGGTATATCTTCGGTCTGGTTGTCGACCGCGGTATCGGTCGGTAGTCGGTATATTTTCGGTCTGGTCTTCGACCGCGGTATCGGTCGGTAGTCGGTAGGTCGTTTTGTTATATATCTTGCTTCTCTGTTGGAGCGGATATCTTGCGGTTGGTGTTTCGTTGACCCTGGAATTGGTCGGTATTCGGTTATTGTCTGCATTGTACGATCTGGATCTGTGTTCTGTCCTGGTTTGGTATTGTTCTCTCCTTCTTACGCGATTTCTATTTAAGATGTTTGATAAATCAAGGCCCCATCTTGTTATTTCATGCATTCCCAGTACTACTTCTGAAGCTAGGTTTGGTAAAAAATGTAGCTTGGCTTTTCTCAAACGTTGTCTATGGAACATTTTGCTGTAAAACAGATTTCTATGTTGCTGGTTTTTCCATCTGCCAGCGTGATCTTTAAAGCTTTTCTGTCGCTTTTTGTTCCAGATTGTTCCAATATTTTTTTACCTTTTTGTCCTATAAACGAATTTTGGGCTCCTGTGTCTATTAGTGCTCTTAACTTTTTACCGTTGCTGAACGTTATCGTTGTGTGGGGTCGTTGATCTGTATAGTGTGCGTAGCTGGAGGTTGTTAGGGAGGACTCTAAATGCTGACTGGGTTGCCTCCTTCTTGTCCAGTCCTGTTGGAGTTTTCCGGTCGGCTTCTACATTGGCAGTTATTGGAAGTTGTTCCGCAATGGCTGCAGAAGAGTACAGCGATAGCTCTGCAGTTTCTTCTATTGTGGCCTCTGCGGCCGCATCTCCAACAACAAGTCTGTCTGTCGAAATTCTGTATTTTGTTATTACGACTATTTGCCTGTGTCCAGTCACACCTTGTATTGTTTCTGTTATATATTTCTTTTTGGACCATATCATATTCTTCCGCTAGTCTGGTGATGTCCTGTGTTGACGATACGTCTTGCCTCTTTATATACAACTTGTATTTCGGGTTCATATTGGTGTATATCCTGTTTAGTTCTTCTTGGTGATTGAATTCACCATGTCTTCTGATCATTGTTTGAATATCAATGATGTAGTCTTTTACACCTTCGTTGTTTCGTTGGAGTCGGTTCCGGATTTGAGCTTCCAGAGATTGCGTGAGAACGGAGGAAACGAAGAAATTGCGGAAATCTTGTTCGAAGTCTTTTAATTCGTTCCAATATTTATTATTGTTTCTGTACCATAGTAATGCTTTCCCGTTTAATGTTTCTGGTAGAGCTTGTAAAACGTGGGTATCTTGTAGGCCGTAAGCTGTCTGGAGTTCTTTCAACCGTTCTATGAATTCTATTGGGTCTCTTGAACCGTCAAAGTGTAACCCCCATTTGCGTACTATTTCCATCTTTCTTTGTCTGTCTTCCATCTGGTTTTCTTCTATTTCCTCTGGGTTTTGGCCTTTTTGAGTTGGTGCCTTGATGATCGCAACTAATCTCGCTCTTAGCTCGCTGAAATTCCCTTCCGTCGACTGTTCTCTGTTTGTTAATTCGGCTATAAGTTCGTCTTTCTTTACTAGGTACACCCAACTAACCTTCGACGTTTCCGGAGCGTCTGTCATTTTTGAACTGTGAATCACTCTGTATTTGAATAAAGTTTGAAATGCAGTACTGTCTCATGAAAATAAAATTCGGAATTCGGTCGGTATTATTGTTTAAAACGAATTTTTCTGCTCGGGCGCCATTTGTGACGTCCTCTCGTAGGAGTCACTATCCGGGTAGCTTTTGGACAGTCAGAGACAGACTTCAAAATAAAAATAAAACTTTATTGTCTTCCTTAAATTAAATTGACAAAAATCTTATGTACATATTTACAATTTGGTTTGGTCTTCTCAGTACCTGGCCTATTTATTCAAATTAAGTTTGACCTTGTCGTATGAAATTAGTGTTATCGGCAAGCGAGTGTGTTTTTGAAATTCTACGTGAACGCTGTATCGACTTAATAACAGCGGACGAAAGTTACAAAGAAAGGAAAGGAACTCAACACGTCCCTTAAGTGATTCGGGTTAACAGGACACTCCTCGATAGTCTCAACACGACTGCTTCAGAGTACGGGTAATGAAGAGCTCAACACGCTCTCCGGGTAAAGACGGTATGGGACGGAACAACTTGTGAACTCAACACGTCCACAAGCTGGGGTAGGAAAGAAGAGAACCTTCAGTCAACACCTGTCGATTCTGTCTCTATGAGGAAATGTTGCGGTTTATATAGCGGAGCTTGGTAATTAGTTTTGCCCTTTCTACTGTCGATACAATCCTACTTCATGGGTTGGTTCGCGCGCACGCTGGTTTAACGGTGATGGCTTGGACTCATCGTTACAGGTTATTGTGTATGTAAAGATTTCCTATCAGCCTCAGGCAGAATGATGGAGAACCATGATCCTAGCGACCGAGACAAGACGTCACTGTATTCTTCCGAGAGTAAACAGACTATAGAAGAAACCTCTTAGATCCCCATTATCTTGTATCTTTCTAAACTATGTGTCTTCTTTAAGGTAAATAAATTTATCTGATTCGTTTTCCGCTTTTTGCTATATGTTTTAATCATTAATAACCTGTTTTTAATTTCATTGTAATATGTCTATCGTTTCTTTGGTTTTGTTTTACATTTAGTTTTTGCCTTTTAGTGTTATTGGGAAAGAAAAATTCACAATTTCGTTTAGCTACTGCTATTAAAACTGATGAACGAGTACGACTTATGAACGAAATAATAAATGGAATTCAAGTTATCAAAATGTATACATGGGAAAAGCCATTTACGAAAATTGTAGAAGTTGCACGATTGTGAGTATTTCAACAGTTTACATTCCATAATATAGATTTTTAAATATTTTTAGCATTGTACAAAATCATGTCAAATGATAAAATATTATAATTTGTATTATAGATTATTTAATATAATTATGATTTTTTACTTTGAGCACTTTATTTACGAAATTAAAAAATTCGTAGGTAGTAATTCTATTCTAAATAATGTTGAAACAAACAAGCTGAATGCTAAACTACTAAGGAAAGGATGGGTATGTTTTATGAAATATGTAGGGAGTCTATTTATAATGTTCTAAGTAATAAGATATCTAATAAGTCAGAGGCAAATCACCAGATTTTTCGCGAACTGCTAAAAAAAAGGACAAGTATGTAATATTTTTGAGAAAATAGTCCAACGTACCGTAAAATCTCAACTACACTGTCCATTTCAAATTGTTGGGGTTAGGTTAGGTTAGGTTAAAATTGTTGGGGTTGTATCTGCCCTTGCTTAAGGTTAATGTAATTTAATTGAAAGCTAGCCTATAAAATGTTACCCTTTAACTTATTCTTCCATATTTTTAGATTCTCTATATGGGCCGAAATATAAAGGGTGGGCGAGAATGGTTTTATTCCTTTTTCAAGACACTGTAATAAGAAAAATATGTAAATATTTAAAAAATATCACAATTCTTCAGTGTAACTTACTAGTCATTAAGATTAATTATAAAAGCATTGACACTCAACATTTATAACAAACATTAAAATATAAAATTTAAACAAATTTTTGGCACTCCAATGAGTAGCAAAAATAACCCCCATACTATGTAACTTTGTATTGGATTAACTTATAACAACGTGTAAAGAAAAGATACCTTTTTACATACCTTTTATTAAACGTAATGTAGATAATTTGATTTTATCTGTCCCTGAAAACAAGGTAACTGATGTTTTAAACACGTTTTTAAACACAGGCTCTAAAAGCTAGGGTTATCAACTTATCACACATCGAATTCAGGGAGAAGGGACTAAAAAAGTTGAGATCTATACTACAAGAGAATTCTTATCCCATGGGGCTATTAAATAAACTCATTTTCGGTTCTCCTTTTCCTTCGCAAGTTTCTGTCAACCAAAATTTTCGTAACAATGAGATCCGACAATTGACATTGACACATAACGCATCAATATTACCATCTAAAATAACTTATGGTTGCCTACCCTACTTTCCAGTTCTGACACCTAAGCTAATGAATATCTTTAAAAATGTTAGTGGCTTAAAACTTATAACCAAAAATGTGAAAACGGTATCGAAGCTTTACACAAAAACAAAAGATCCTTTCACAATACAGGAGTCATCGAATGTTGTTTATTCTATACCGTGTACTAATTGTAATAAAATTTACATAGGAAAATCATCTCGTAATTTTCACAGCAGGGTGATATCACATCGTTGTGGTATAAAAATAAAAAAAAATCAATGCATGTGCATTAACAGAACATGCATTAACTCTGAAACATGAGTTCAATTTCGATAATTCCTGTATTTTGGCAACAGAAAAGAACTATTTAAAACGTGTTTTTTTTTGGAAATGTATTTCTTAAAATATAGCACATCTTGCATCAATAAAAAGTCTGACATAGATAAACTAAGCAACATTTATTGTTATTTACTAGAACAACACCAAAAATAAAATAAACAATTACCTGTACATAGATTACATCTGTATGTATAATATGTTGCATACCATTAAGACATTTTTACAAAGTATAATCACCTAAGATGGGCCTCTAGTATTTCTTGAAAAGAAAGATAACATCAAGGACACCTAATTACATGTTAATAACGGTGTTTTTACTTTCCATTCTCTATGCATATGAGTTAAAACACACCAGTAAAACATGCCATAAACTAAATTTTACTATCTTTATCCTAAATTTTAAAAATTTTAGAATGTATTGTGTCCATGATCTTATATTTTAATGTGTGTTATAAATGTTGAGTGTCAATGCTTTTATAAATAATCTCAACGATTAGTAAGTTACACTGAAAAATTGTGATATTTTTTTAATATTTACATATTTCTCTTATTACAATGTCTTGAAAAAGGAATAAAAACCATTCCGAAAGCTAGACAAAAAGTCCAAAGAGTGTTTTTTTGAACATCCCGGCCAATATTCTGACTGCAACCCTAATAAACTGTGTTTTTGTTTATATCGACAGTCACTAATTATAGTAAATTATATATATTATTATAAAATTATATATATATATATATATATATATATATATATATATATATATATATATATATATATAAGAAATACTGGATATTATTGACTGTCGATATAAACAAATAACACAGTTTATTATGGTTGCAGTCAGAATATTGGCCGGGATGTTAAAAAAACACTCTTTTGACTTTTTTGTCGAGCTTTCGGAATGGTTTTATTCCTTTTTCAAGACATAGTCGTTGAGATTATTTATATAAGCATTGACACTCAACATTTATAACACACATTAAAACATTAAAATATACAATTATGACAAAATACATTATAAAATTTTTAAAATTTATTGTAAAAATAGTAAAACTTGGTTGATGGCATGTTTTACTGGTGTATATTAACTCATGTTATATATATAAATATATATATTATATATATATATATATATATATATTATATATATATATATATATATATATATATATATATATATATATATATATATATATATATATATATATATATATTATTTATATATTATTATATTATATATATATATATATATATATATATATACATTTAAACTTTTAAATAAATTTACGTTATAAAATAATTACAGAACATGTAGACATATTAAAAAATTTAGGTTATGCATATTCTTATCGGAAACAAAACAATTGTTTCTGAATTTATTATTATTAACATGATGATAACACTCTAAAGGTAATAGTATACCTAATAGGCGATGAATTGTTTGAAGAAGAAGATGCAAAAGGGCTTATTTTATGAAGTAGTAGAAATATTATATATCACATATATATATATATATATATATATATATATATATATATATATATATATATATATAATGAAACTTATATTGTTGACGATGAATTGCCTGTATTAGTATATTCCTAGTTATCTAAAGTTAACAATAATAAGTTGTAAGAGTATAAGTTGCCCAAATTGTTGGTATCTGTCTTTTTATTAATGAGTTCTTTCTTTTGAAAAATGAAGTTTGTGAAATTTGTTTGGAAACTGAACGTTATCAATTTTATATCGTTCATAAGTTTTTATAAGCATTTACTTTACTTCCATATTTTAGGAGCTAGATATCCCTTAACGCAAAATTTTTTTACTATTTTTTCTCTTTGAATGTATGCTTTTTTAACTAATTTTAGATTAACTGAATATGTTTATGGACGTATAGACGAAACGTCTTCAAATAAAGGATTAAGTAGCAGTATCCTTTTTTTATTCTGCATTTTTGGCCCGATAACCCACCACTATCATAATGAATTAGTAATTTATTCATCTGTGCTTCTAAATTGGCTTTTAAAATTATTCCATCTGCATATATAAACTTTTTTGGGGTTACATAAAAACTGTAACAATTTTAGACTCTTCGATTACAAAATGTATTAATTTGAAAACGTACCAATCTGTATATCTTGGCCTCGAAAAGTCAAATAATAATTGACAATTATAAAATGATATTTTCATTACAATCAATTGTGGCTTAGTCCCAAATAAACATAATATTTAACTTGCCACAGGAACTTTTTACACATTTTCTATATGATAATAATACTCATTGAAAACTGATTTGCAAGTAAAATTATTTGTTTTCTGTTTGGGATTAAGTTTTTTTTATTCTTTTCTTTTAATATACTTTTAAACACAGTTTAAAGTCAATACTCCAATCGTCAGACCCCAAAGAAGTGCAAAAAAGTGCAAGACTATGGACGAACATAGCTTTTAAGTGATCTATTTACATAATTTCAAACGTAACTCGACTCCTAAATTTTATAACTTTTTTTTAACATACTAATGATATTGTAAGTAATGAACTTAATGATTTTTAGGAACGAAATAAAATTCATTAGAATGAGCTCGTACATTAAAGGATTCTTAATGTCAATGAGTCTTAGCAACAGTAGGTGTTCGATTGCACTAGCTGTTATTACCTACGTTGCTACAGGAAATACCCTAACATCAACATACGTCTATACCATAGCATCTTATTATCGAATACTGGGCATGGTTACCATGTTTTTTCCTCAGTCAGTTTCACAGGTATCAGAACTTTTAGCATCTGTTCATAGAATTCAAACATTTCTTGTATTGGACGAGAAAAAAGTGGGCCGAGTAAATAAAGCGTTCTTAAATCTTTCAGACTTAGACCCAAAAGGTCTTAAAAAAGAAACTATGATCAATACAGGTTTTAAGTTACACCAAATTTCCGCAAAATGGGATAAATCTCATTCTGAGATGAACTTGGAAAATATTTCAATGGATGTATCTTCGAAAAGTTTGGTGGCCGTCGTAGGAGCCGTAGGCAGTGGAAAATCCTCACTATTTCAAGTAATCCTTCAAGAATTAGAACCTTTAGAGGGTTACATTGAAGTAAATGGAAAAATATCATTTGCATCGCAAGAACCTTGGTTGTTTGGTGGCACCATTAGACAAAACATACTTTTTGGACAACCCTACGACAAACAGAGATACGAAGAAGTTGTCACAGTGTGTGCTTTACAAAGGGATTTAACTCTCTTACCTTATGGTGATAAAACTCGGATAGGTGAGAGAGGAGTTACCCTTAGTGGAGGTCAAAGAGCTAGAATCAATTTAGCTAGAGCAATATATAAAAAAGCAGATATATATCTTCTTGATGATCCTTTGTCTGCGGTAGATACTCATGTTGGAAAACATTTGTTTGATGAATGCATTTGCAGATTTTTAGCTGATAAATGTGTGGTTCTAGTCACGCACCAGTTGCAATATTTAAAGACTGTACAAAATATTATTTTATTAGAGAATGGTCAAATAAGAGCTTCAGGTGCATATGTAGATATTAGAAAATCGAATAGTATTTTTACCAAACTTCTGGAAGAGCTAGAAAAGGAGGAAGAAGATGAAGAAAAACAAAAAAAAGTTAAAAAGAAACTATATATCGAAAATCAAGGAGAAAAAGAAGCTCCTGCTTTAGTAAAAGAAGAAAAAGGTGTAGGCAAGGTTACTACCTACGTTTATATGAACTACATTAGAGCTGGTGGAAGTTTATGTAAAGTTTTATTACTACTTTTAGCCTTTATTCTGAGCCAGGTTCTTGACACTTCTTCAGAATATTTTGTAACAATATGGTAAGTAAATGTTTCTTAAATTTTTTAGCATATTAAGAATTAATAATTAATTTTAATATTCTTCTTGTTTTTCTATTTTTTATTTACTTAATATTGTAAATATGAACGTTAGTTAAATTTTATTTAAATTGACGGGTCAATTCAAAATTTTAGAATTTATAATTTTCTGCATTTTCGTGTTATTATCCATTTTTTGTTTAAGTATATACGTAGGTACTTTCAAATATTTTATTTTACTGGTCATACGCTTTAGACGTCAAATTCTCATTCATTTTCTGTTTTATTATTGTCTATAAACTATAAACTTTGTTAAATATTTTAAAGACTACCTTACAGCTATTATCAGTGTTATTTCCTTGCAGTTATAAATGAGAGTGATGGCAGTTCTTTATTACGGGATGTATAAATATTGCGTTCGGTTATTTAATAAATAGATATGTTGTTTCTTTTTTCTTTAGTTATGGTTTGCGAGAGCTCTTATCATTTCGATAGGTGAAATATCACTATTGTAATTTAATGTTCTTTCGAGTTCTAGTCGAGTCTTCTCTCTTACATCCTAATTTCCAGCGTTTTCTGTCAAAGCTGTATTCAGTTTTTAAATCTTTCTGGTAGTTATTGCGCCTTCGACATCTTCTCTCCAGAACCCTCCTGGTCTACTTTGTCTTCTTCTAGTTGTCAAAATCTATTTTTCTATCTTTTTTTGGTGATATATTCTATGACATTCTATAAGCAATTTTAGGGCATAAGTTATTATCTTTGTTCCTCACCCTATCAGGTTGAGTAAGCCGGCAACATCGTTTTTAATAGTTCTATTCTATGTCCTTAATTTTTGATTTGTTTCTTTGATTTATTTGTCAGAATTCGGCGCAATATAACTCAATACTTTTTATTATTGTTGTATAAATTCTTCTTTTATTTTCTTTTGTTTTATTATTCCACAATAGTCCATGTACCTGTCAAGTGACTGATCTTGCTTGGCAAATCCTGGAATGTATTTCTTCGTTTCTCTCTGCTTTTGATGTTATTTGGACTTCTAAGTATTTGGAGGTTGCAGTTTTTGTATCTTACTTGTGAGGCCTCATTTAGTGTACACCTCTTCTAATTTTGTAAGCCAATAGTTTATATCACTCCCATCTCAAGCCACAATGGATGTCATCGAAGTATGATGAACAATATCTCGCCTTTAATTGAGATGCCCATATTGCATCACTTTCTTCTCCGCACTGAGAGCGCTTTGTTTAGATATATTTTTTGAAGAGTGTAGGTGCTATGCAGTAGCCTTACTAATAGAAATTCTGTAGTTAATTTTTGCCTGTTTTAATGTTTAGTATTATATTTTTGTAAAGCTGTAGTACTGCTTTTATACATTTTTTTGTTTAGTCCTTGTTTTTTAATTATTGCTACGCAGATCATTAAGTGTTACAGTATTCTATAGGTACCTTTGTAAGATCTATAAAGATTATATGAGTTGAAGGGTTGTAGCTTAATATGATCTCAATAACATGCTTTAGAGAAAATATGCTGTCCATACAGAATCTGCCTTCATAAAAACCATTTTTTTCTTCTACACCTGACATCTCTTTTTGAATTTTATATTTTATTATTTTTTCACAGAGTCTTGAGAGTAAATTTATAATACTTAGCCCCTTGTAGTTTGAACAATTCTTTCTGTCTCTTTTTTTGCAGATGTTGTTAATGTGTGTTTTAGTCCACTCCTGAGATAAGTCATGTCTTTATTAAGGTGAAATCATACCCTAGCAATTCCCGTAATACCTGGTTTCCTAGTTTTATGGTCCGCATGCTTTTCGTTTTTTTTTTATATTTTTTTTCCTGTACTGTTTTTTTTTATATTTTTCATCTCAATAAAGAAGAACATCGTTTGATACAAGATCTTTTTTCTATTAAATCTATTATACTCGCTTTTTTCTGTTATAACATAATCTATAATTGGCATGCTGTTTCTTGTTTATTAAGTTATTACAAGCACAGATAGAAAGACACAAAACTACGTCTTCATTTCCAAGTAAAATATTATAATATGTAGGTAGCCAAGGTTTTTAATTTATATTATTTGTATTTATGTTATTTAAGTTAAATTACAATAAAATTTACACATCTCTATAATGTTTTAGGGTTAATATTGAGCAGTGGGTAATACAAACGTATAATTCAACAACAGTTTTGCACAAAACCAACCAATCTTCCACAGTAATTGCTAATCCATACGACTTGACCAAAGATCACTGGTTGACTTCGTTCTTCACCGGAAATATAACTGTATACGTTTACATGACTTTTGTTTTATTATTGCTTATAGTGACTTATACACGTTCAATATTTTTCTACAGATGGGGTCTATCTTCTTCTATAGTTATGCATAATAAAATGTTTGATAACATCATATATAGTCCTATGTATTTCTTTAATAATAATCCATCTGGGAGAATTTTAAATAGGTTTTCCAAAGATATTGGTATTGTAGATGAGGTGTTACCAACTACTATTTTGGACACACTTCAGGTATGTATTGAATTCAAAAATTTAAACTAATATTTTATAATTTTTAAATAATTGATTGAGAACTAAAAGTTGTTCCTTTGACAAGGCCTTCGGTTATTAGTAATGTCAAATATTGGCTATACTTATTTACAGGACTATTCTAATTTGACTTCTTAGTCTGCCTTAGAGGTAAGAGTAAAGTATCCTGCCAATATCACTGGAGAAGGAAAAAAATTGTTACAGTCCTTGTAGCAATTATTTGTAATGCACTTTTCGTTAAGGGATTAACTTTCACATATTAATAATTGGTTTAAAGTAAAAGTATTCATTAATATCCAAAATAAGTATTATTCATGTAGGTAGATAAGAAAGTCATTATAATATTATTTATTGAGCTGATTATAATAAAAGTTTTAGTTATTTTCAATGCTTTATTCAAAATATTTTTCTGTTTCACATATTTTCTGCATTTGCTTAAGTGTTTGCATAGGTTGAATAGCTATGGTTTTCATTTCAATTCCATTGTGGTTGTAGGTTTGTCAGAGACTAACCGTAAATGAACTTAACTGTATATTACTTTTAATATGCAGATCTTTCTTTTAGTTTTATTTCTCTCTATTTTTTTAACATCCCATTTGTCTTCAATGTGTAATGATGATTGCAATAAGTAAATTGTTTAATTAAATTACAAAAGACTGACTGTGAAGGAGACTGACTGTGAAAAGTAGACTATAGGTAGTCTACTTTTATAGTATGGTATAGTATGTATAGTAGGTATATAGTAGTAATAGGTCTATAGAACTTAACTTCTACAGACTTGAATCGTTGGGGTATTAAGATGATTTTGCTACTTTCCACAAAAGGGGATAGTAACCAGTAACTAAGATTCTGTTTAAAATCTGTGTTAAATATTACACTCCTTTTTCAGCAAGTTCTTTTAGAATTCTTGCAGTGATTTAGTTGAATACTTTTTCGGATTCAGATCTGTTTGGATTTTGTTGAAAACTTGTTTGGCAGTGAATTTTTCCAATGGTGCTTCTAGTTGGTATGGTTATTATAAATATATTTAAATATTATCTTTTGTATCAGGATTGTTATTTTGAGGTTATTATGTGGTTGGAACACTTCCTCTAGGTATTTGGCAACACTGTGGCTTTTTCTTTGTTACTTTTTGATTGAAGAGTAGTGGACGGTTAATATTTTATGTTGCCTTCCATAGAAATATTCGGAGGTTTCCGTGGCAGATAGATTTTGTAGATATCGTTTTATGTCTTTTTTTTTATTGTTGTTTAACAAAGTTTTAAATCATGCTGCCGTATTCCTCTTTCTTCGATTTTTTCTTTTATTTCGTTGGATAAGTTTTTGTATGATTGTTTTTATTTGTGTAGGTGTTAGCTGCCAGCCAGCTTCCTCAATTATCCTATTTAAATAATCTACGGCTCCGTCAATATTGCCATCACATTTTAGTGGCCCACAGATACAAACAAAATACCAGACTTGGTTGATTTCTATATGACCAAAGGAATACCACTCGAATCCTAGACAGCACAATGTTGTTTCGATCGTTCATCCGACCACTCTCCTGTTTTGGTCATGATATCCAAAAATATCCTCGAAACAGAACCTCCGCTATACCTAAATATTAAATATACCCACTGCATTAAATTCCGGGATGTTCTTTATAACAGTCTGAATCTAAACATCCCACTAAAACATTGCTCGATTTTAAGCTAGATTAATCAGATTTTTTAGTCGTTGTTTACTTCAATTTCTAGTTTTCTCGAAAGAATTCATAATAATATAATCCGTTCACAATTTGTTGATAGCACGAAATATGCCTTAAGGTCATCTAACAGTCGTTAAATGTGTATCATTATAGGCGTTCCTGAGGTGTTTATTCATTAAAATTAATATCAATATTAATAATGTTTTAATACTAATATATTTAGCAAAAAACAATTAAAACTTTCACGGCTAATGTCGGTTATTATATTATAATAATAAAAATAATAATTTAACAATTAACAGTTTTGTAAATAGGAATACCTTATCTCTTTGGATATTTCAATACTAATCTTCGTGTTTATTCACTTTACTAGAAAACCTGGTATTCCTATCCGAAGGTACTATCCGTTGCAAGATAATTAGGATGAAATTCCCCAGATTTTTAATAATATAATGGGTATAGATGCCGGCTTTGGCTACGTGCCTCGTCTGTTTAGTTTATATTCGAAACTTAACTTGAAAGGGTGAAGTTATTACAAACGAAAACAATTTTTTTGTTTAGTACGTTTTTGATCGCATGTCATTTACGGCTCGTCGGTGTTTCTGCGTCTACGGCAGTAATTAGCGTCTCGAATATTTCTTTTGCGAATTATATGCAGTGCGTGAGTCATTTTTATTCCATATACCTACGAACATATACGTACCTTTCGCTCGTGCTCGTTTTGTTGGATTGTTTGTGATGGCTTCATCATCAACATCATCAAATTTTACACCGATACTGTTGCGTACACTCAGTAAGTCTGTCTATTCACCAAGAGAGAAGACTATTGTCCTGAATGTTCACGATGCCCTGGTTTCTTAGAATCCCACAAACACTGTTCGCAACATAGTCGAAAGTTGTGTCAACATGACTGGCGTAGGGGAGTCAACTATATATAGGTTCCTACCAGAAGGAAAAAAAAACACGGTATAGCTAACCCCATATAAGCTAAACACAAACGAACACTTAAAGAGAGGGAAAAAGCCTATTGAAATTGATGAATTTGACAAAAACGGTATTCGAAGGATAATTCATGAATTTTTTTTTCAAAAAAGAAATACCAAACCTAAATAAAATTTTACAAGAAGTTAGAGACGATCCGGATTTGCCTCATATCGGACGAACTAAATTGTGGCAAGTTTTAAAAGAATTAAATTTCGGGTGGGAGAAATCAGACCGAAAATCACTTTTGATTGACCGGGAGGAGATAATATGTTGGAGAAGAAATTATCTAATATCCATACGAAAATTCCGGGCTAAAGGAAGGCCAATCTTCTACCAGGATGAAACGTGGGTAAACTGTCATACTCTAAAAAAAATTTGGTCAGATAAAAATATATTAAGCTCCAGGCAAGCCTTTATGGAAGGTTGGTCTACTGGTATCTCCACACCTTCTGGTAATGGCAGTAGATTAATAATTTCTCACATTGGCGGTGAAAAAGGATTTGTTAAGCATGGTTTGTTGGAATTTCAGTCCAAAAGCACAAAAGACTATCACGAGGAGATGACAGGTGATGTTTTCGAAGAGTATTTTGTGCAGATGATTGAACACATACCACCAAATTCAATTATAGTATTAGATAATGCACCTTATCATTCACGACTAGTAGAAATACTTCCAACGACTGCGTGGAAGAAACAGGATATTCTTGACTGGCTGCGGAATAAGTATCTGCAATACGAAGATGGAATGGTAAAAGCAGAACTTTTAAAAATTGCTCGGCAACACAAATCTAAGTTCAAGAAATACGTAGTTGACAAAATGGTGGAAAGGCGAAACATCACAGTCCTTAGACTTTCACCCTACCACTGCGAAATAAATCCAATTGAACTCATTTGGGCACAAATGCAAAGTTATGTGGCTAGAAAAAATACGTCATATAAAATACAAGCTGTACGTGAATTGTTATACGAGTCTTTACAACACATTACAGAACAAAACTGGAAAGATGCAGTAAGACATGTAATAGAAGAACAAAAAATGTGGGATCTTGATAACATAATTGATGCGACCGTAGACACACAACCGCTAATTATTGACCCTCAAGACGACTGGGATTCCGAAGTTGATCCTATTTATTTTGAATTTGAATAGTTTTCTAATCGTAATTATATAAGGTACGTAATAGTAGTTGTAATCGTAAGGTATTAAAGGGAAAAGGCGCAAAATGTCGCCTGTCAAAATGTTCAACGTGTTTTAAATGTATCCATTTTTTTTTTCAAATCCTGAGAAAACTAAAAAGCATTTTTGAAAAATTTAAAGGCAGAATAAATAAAAAGTTTCTTTTGCATGCAATATTTTCAATTAAAAATTATACTATATTTTCTATTTTATTTTCACTCCTGTTACATAAAATATTAAAATAAACATTGTAGAAGTTTTCAGGGACTTTCTGCCCTATGTAATAATGTAATCTTTCATTCTGCGTTTAAATTTTTCAAAAATATTTATTATTTTTCTCCGGTTTCGAAAATAATGGATACATTTAAAACACATTGAAAATTTTGCCAGGCGACATTTGGCGCCTTTCCTCTTAATTAAATAAATGTATCTTTTACAGATGGCAAGAAACTTTTTATTTTTAAATAAAATAAAGAAGTTTTATTAAAACAAAAATACAATTTAAAAAATGTATTTATTTAGTTCAAATCAATGTTTCAATCATATTATACCCTACGACACTGGTCGGCCAAAATACCTTTATAATCGGATTAAAAGGTTGACCGCTGTATTGTATTACTGCAGATACAAGGTGGGTTAGTCGAAAACATCTTAAACTGTCAGTTTCAGGTTGATTTTTACTATTATATCGTATTACCTATCCTCTCTGTATTTCAGTTCTCTAATTAGGATTAAACTTGTAGTGAGCTATCAACAAATTGTGAACCGAGTATAGAATATTGAAATAATTAATATTTACAGTCTAGGATCTCACATTTTTGTGTTTTGGGTTCTGTTAATCTTTATTCGAAGAAATTATTTAAAATATGACAGCTTTCTTATTTTTAAATATTCTCTTATATGCCGCCATTTATATCCATGTTTTCATATTTATTTTTATATCATTTAAAAAAAAAGTTTTTAGTCTCAAACTATTCTTGATCTTGACATAGAAATATATCCTCATAGTATTTAAAGCTGTAACCGTTTTTCCATCTTTGATCTTTTATTATACACTGAATTTAATGAGCGTTTAAATTAAATTATTTTTATAATTGACGGATTCGACCGTTACTTGATGGAAATTCATTTTAAGTAACAATAAAACACTGAAAACTTTGTTTTCAAACTTCCACAAAATTTATTTTAAATATTATCACAACAGCTGTTTCGGCTGATTGCCTTTCTCAAGTGATCTATTTTGGCTTGGGTTTACAAATTTATAGTCTCTAATGAAATAGGTTGAGGAGGGGAGAACTGTTTGTCTCAAGTTGGTCATTCAGAATTATATCTGTGTTTTTTAATTCGTTGATTTCCATAGGTTCTAACAAAGATAGCTTAAGGCGTTTATTTTGAATGTGAAGAATTTTAAATTTGTCATTAAAAGAATGATTATGATCTAGAAGGTGAAGTGCGTATGTCGAATCTGTTTTTCTATTCTTGAAAGCCCTTTTATGTTCTGCTATTCGTTTATCAAAGTTTCTACCAGTTTGACCGATGTAAGTTTTTGGGCAGTCGCCACATTGAAGTTTGTACACACCACTATTTAAGTGTTTTTTATTTTGGCTCTTGTTATTTTTAATATATTTGCCTAGGTTGTTATTTGTTCCGAAAGCTGGTGTTATTCCTTTCTTTTTTATGTGTTTGGCAATTTTTGTTGTTATTTTGCCTGTATATGTAATATAATTGAAATGCCTTTGTCTAGAGACAAAGATTTCAAAACATCCCGTATTCAAACAGTTTTTATATTGGTGGAGATACGTAGACGACGTACTGGTATGTTTCACAGGAACTAACAGGCAACTTGACCAATTTTTATCATATATTAATTCACTTCATAGTCATATTGAATTTACAATAGAAACAGAACAAAATCAATCGATACATTTTTTAGATTTAAAAATTAGTAACGGCATACTGACACGACTATACACAATTCGTCATCCCATCCAACACAACATAAACTGGCAGCTTATCATAGTATGTTACATAGATTAACAGAAATTCCGATGTCAAAATACAACTTTGAGACAGAATTAAATATAATTAAACAAATAGCAGTAAACAACGGATACAACGAACAAACAATTAATAAAATGTTAAATCAAAAACTACACAAGAAAGCCCCGAAATTAGTATTTTCACCACCAGAGAGAAAACCCAGTACCTTCTGCTCGATTACATATACAGGCAAAATAACAACAAAAATTGCCAAACACATAAAAAAGAAAGGAATAACACCAGCTTTCCGAACAAATAACAACCTAGGCAAATATATTAAAAATAACAAGAGCCAAAATAAAAAACACTTAAATAGTGGTGTGTACAAACTTCAATGTGGCGACTGCCCAAAAACTTACATCGGTCAAACTGGTAGAAACTTTGATAAACGAATAGCAGAACATAAAAGGGCTTTCAAGAATAGAAAAACAGATTTGCTATACGCACTTCACCTTCTAGATCATAATTATTCTTTTAATGATAAATTTAAAATTCTTCACATTCAAAATAAAGGCCTTAAGCTATCTTTGTTAGAATCTATGCAAATCAACAAATTAAAAAACACAGATATAATTCTGAATGACCAACTTGAGACAAACAGTTCTCCCCTTCTCAACCTATTTCATTAGAGACTATAAATTTGTAAACCCAAGCCAAAATAGATCACTTGAGAAAGGCAATCAGCCGAAACATCTGTAGTGATAATATTTAAAATAAATTTTGTGGAAGTTTGAAAACAAAGTTTTCAGTGTTTTATTGTTACAAATTGTTTTTAATTTATTTATTAAATATATTTAATTTCAGATCGGTTTATCAGTATTATCCATATGTCTCGTTATTGGAACATTAAGTCCTTGGATGCTTATACCGACTATAGTAGTATTGGTAATATTTTATTTCATGAGGTTTATATTTTTGGAGACCAGTCGAGATGTAAAGAGAGTGGAGTCCATCAGTAAGTATTGTTTTAACATTAAATTAGAATCTAACTATAATATATAATACTTCATTATGATGATTAATATGAATTGGTACAACAAATTCTTAAAGTAAAAGCGCTAAGAGGCTACCTACGAATCACAGATTTACTATCATAACATCGAATTTTTTACGTGCAGTAAAAAACATTTATGTTCCTGTTTAGGTGGCGCAGTTTTGTTTTTCACAGAAACAAGAAGTAAACTGTACGCCACTCCAGGTGGAGACACCCTATATTCACAAGGAAAGAAGTAACGAAGGCTGGCAAAACACCCGAAGCAGGCAAAGCGCTTGGACCTTATAGGATAGCACACAAAATAATAAAAATACTAATTGAGGAGAAGGTGCAACGGATACAGGATGTTATAAACAACTTGCTAAAAGGGCAAGAGTTCTCAGGAGATCCGAAAACGACAAATTTCATACTGATACCAAAACGGGAAAAGTAATTAAAACTTAGGGTCTTTAATGGAGAAGGGTGGCATATTCGACCGCGAGTATGGATTTAGGAAAGGAAAATCTGCGGAGGCAGCAGTGACTACTTCTTATCGCGGGTTATGACTGTATTGAGTTCTGAAATTTTATGTCTTCTAATTACTGAATTATTAATATTTTTTATAACACCACACATATATTCTAAGTTCTTTAAAATTAAAAAAAAAATTTGTTTTTCTTTAAAAATTTTGTTGTTTTTGGTAATTTTCAAAATTTGTTAATTTGAATATAGAATTTATTCAATATTAACATTTGGATTATGATCTTGTATTACTGTTTAATTGTTTCATTTTAATTATCGTTATATTTTTAAAGTAAAACTGCTAATTTTTTTATGAACAAAATGAGAAATAAAATCACAAATTTAAATTTTTCAAATTTTAATTCTAATAATTTCAAAATTTATTAAATATAATATAGAGAATTTAGTGATTATTAACATTTTCATCATTTCATCATCTTGACTTTAGAATATAATTTAAACGCTTAAGAACCGGGCCCGAATTAATCTCACTCGTTACAAGATGCACTACATTCTACTGCATAATATACTGCATACTGCTTTCTATATTATATAAATATACTGCAAGCGTCTCGTGATGGGTGAGATTGATTCGGGACCGTGCAAAAATATACAATCATACCGAGCAATAGGACTTCAACACTACTAGTGATTAGTGACTTTAAAAAAACATATGAAAATGTTTGCTTTAAATTTAAATTTGCTTTTTGTAAAATACGATATATTACGTTTATCGTTAGTTTTCAGGGCAACTATAGAATTTAATTTATACTAAATCAAAATTTATTTACAGATCGCAGTCCTGTATATTCCCATCTGACGGCATCTCTTCAAGGTCTAACTACGATAAGAGCATTTAAAGCGCAAGAGATATTGGCTGTGGAATTTGACAATCTGCAAAATGTTCATAGCGCAGCATTTTTTATGTATTTAGGAGCCACTAGAACTTTTGCCTTCTGGTTAGACTTTTTCTGTGTGGTTTACATTGGGCTAGTTTTAGTTGCTCTTTTGGTTGTAAAAGGAGGTAAGTCATAACAACTCAGTTTAGTTTAAATTTTAATTATTTGTCCTGACTGATCCTGTAGAGCAACTGAGAAATATAAAGAATATGAACCAAAAAAGACGCCAACTACAAAAACACGGCAACCAAAGAGACGCACAATCCAGAAACTGCATTTTATTCTAGAGACGCTTAACTTTATTATTTACTTAACGTGCATGGCGTTAAGTAAATAGTGCACTATGGCCACTCGAACAGGGGCAACTATAAAAATATTACGTATTCTATTATAACACTATTAAGATATTATGGATTTTTAATGCTGAGATTATATTCACTTATATTATAATCAGATTTATAAGGTTATTGTTTTAACTTATTCAAGAATTTAGTGACGCAAAATTTTGTGATCTCTTATTTGTAGCTGTATTTAGTTTAGATATTTACCATAAAGCGTTCAATACAGTAAAAAACGACAAGCTGATGGAGATATTAACAAATATTGGAATAAAGACCTGTGATCTTTAAAGAATTATTAGCAATATTTACTGGAATCAAACATCATCTATCCGTTTAGAGGCAGGAGAATCCGATGATATTAAAACGTAACACGCAGCCCGACAGGGACGTATACTATCACCCTTTTTATTTAACATATACTCTGAGGAAATTTTTCAAGAAGCAGTAGAGAATGTTGAAGCGGATGCCACAGTGATATCAGGAGTCAACGAACAGAACCACAAAAGCGAGCCAGAGACACAGACTTCCACTAAACATTAAGAAAACAAAATGTATGATGATCTCTAAGAAAGAACCGAAAATTGAAAGAATCAGTGTGAATGGTCAACCAATTAAAAGAGTAAAAACGTATACCTACTTTACGTAACCTACCTACGTAAAAACGTAAATGAAATTTGGAACCATTCTCCAGAAATAAAATGTAGGATAGAGACAATAGAGAATGCAAGATCTACATTTTAAAAAATGGCGAAGCTATTTAAATGACACGATTTATTATTACCCATAAAAATCAGGTTACTACGATCTTATATCTTTCCTATACTGTTGTATGGAGTTGAGTCGTGGACTCCTACCGAATCTACCTGCAAGAAAATTGAGGCTTTCGAAATGTGGCTTTATCGTCGAATCCTAAAGATTTGATTTGGTTACTAACCAGGACGTTTTCTTAAGAAGGCAAAAAGGAAAAGAGTTGTTAACCACAATAAAACAGCCAAAATCGAATTTAGATTGCCATGATGGTGGCCAACATCCGAAACAGATAGAAGTACAAGAAGAAGAGAAGATGAGCTAGGAAGCTTAAATAAATATTTGGTATCATCGTTTAATAACTACATCCATTAAAATAGTTAAACAAACGGAGCCTATTAAGATACGGTGAGGAGTCAGACAAGGTGACATTGTATCACCCAAACTATTCAATCAAGCTTTGGAAAACGTTATGAGGAAATTACAATGGGAAAACGGGGTATTACCATAAATGGCCAATATTTGAATTACTTAAGATATACAGACGACATTGTATTATTAACAAATAAAATGGAAAAATTACAAAATATGATGGATGAATTAAATAGTAAATAACAAAAATAGGTCTACAAATGAATTATAATAAAACGAAAATTATGACCAGCCAACCAGAAGAATTAATAACTACAAGTACACAAACAACTATAGAACAAGTAAAAGAATATGTATATTTGGGACAACTAATTAAATTAAATAAAGAAAATTAGACCTAAGAAATAAAGAGAAGGATGCGGTTGGCTTATGTATCCTTCGAAAAACTTTCCTATATACCAAGAAATAGAAAATACCGCCAATATTTAAAAGCAAGAGTCTTCAACCAATATATACTTCCTGTTCTTACCTACGGTTCTCAAACTTAAATGGTTACAAAGGAAAACATGGAAAAAATAGCAAATACCCATAGAGCCATGGAAAGGCAAATGCTGAACATCAGGCTATCATACAAGAAAAGAAATACTTGGATCCGCAACAAAACAAAAGTGACCGAAGTATCAACGCAGATAGCAAAACTAAAGAGAAAGTTCGCTGAACATACCATAAGACAGAAAGACGACAGATGGAATAATATGATTATTCACTGGAGACCATATAGTTACAAACGAAAAAGAGGAAGGGCACAAATGAGATGGTCATATGACTTGAAGAAACACGCATGCCCGAAGTGGATACAAACTGCCTACAATAGAGAGGCGTGGAAGAAAGAAGAGAAGGCCTATGTCCAAAATAGGACAGCAAGAGCTGTATAGATAGAGAGATCGTCGTTTATGAATGATGCTGCTGCTCCTACGCTGGGAAGATCTAGATGATTCAGAAAAGATGTGGGTGTAATTTTTGTAATTCGAGACTACCTGCTTATAATTTTAATATATAAGATATGGATTGGAGTCATATTTATTAAATTCTGTTAATTGCGTGTTTACATGTGGGGTTTTGATTATCCGTGGAGAAATGCTGTGTTAATTCATTAACCATGTTCTGAGAAAATTTTAGAGATATAACGTCGATATGTAGCGGTGAACTCTAATACAAAAAGGTGCTGGGAAGATGATTCTTCATTATTGTTTTTTTCTTTTTGTGAATTTGTAGTATTTTTTCTTTCCTCCTATAAAATATTTTAGAAATATTCTCTACATTTTTTATTATTCTATCTTTTTCTGTCAATATGTTCCTTTTGTCAATAGGTTCTTGGTCTTTATTGACGTAACTTCTTAATTTTATTTACCTCTAAGACTTTTATCTTCTTCTTCCATTTCCCTTTTTAGGAGTCGCTGGTCCTTACTTTTCGTCGCCACTAATTTCTGTCCATCGGGTCTTTTTTCATCATCATCATTATCATCATCCAGCCTCTATTTATCACGTCCACTGCTGGACATATTCGTCCCTTAAACTCCTCCATTTCTCACGATTTTGTGCTCTTTGTTGCCAATTTTTAGTGATACGCCTGATGTCGTCGGCCCAACGTGTAGGTGGTCTTCCTCTACTGCGTTTGTCTGCTCTTGGCCTCCAATTTGTAATTTTGGGTCTTTTTTACCTACACCTATATAGTTTTTATTTTTACGTCTGACATGACCAAACCATTGTAGTCTTTTTTCTTGAATTTGTTTAAGACTGTAATTATTCCGGCTCTTTCCTTAATCAAGTCGTTTCTAATCCTTTAACTTCTAGTCTTACCCAACATTAACCGTCACATTTTTATTTCAGCTACCTCTTTTTTTCCTGAATCTTGTTTACAGGTCACCCTTCACCACCGTAACTCAACGCAGGTTTTACCATACTCTTGTATATCTTTCATTTTTGAGCCTTTCCCCGATTATTAAATCACAAAGTATTCCTCTCATTCGCTTCCAGTTAAACCAACCAGCTTTATTCTTTAGGCAATTTCTCAATCTAATGTCAAATTTTCCTTTATGTAGGAGCCAAGATATTTAAATTCTCCTACTCAACCCAATTTTTTATTCAAGAAATTATATGTCCTTAACCATTTATCTTTCTCCCAATCACATAGACTGCATTTTCGACCTACTAACCTTAAGTCCACCCTCTTCATTAGCTCTTCTCCAATACTCCAACTTCTCCTACATTTCTTTGTTTTCTCTACTAACACGCTATTATCAGCAAAGGGCAGTAGCCAGGGAACCTCCTTCTTTACTTTTTCTGTCAGTACATCCATAACAAGATTAAACAACTTAAGGCTCAGTGAAAAGCATTGATGCAAACCAACCATCTAGTAAACTTTCGGTCAATCCGACAGCAGTTCTTACTTTGGTGTACGTTCCCTCATACATATCCTTTACGAGTCTTACGTACTTCTCAGGAACGTATATCTCTTTTAAATATCTTGATAGCTTTTTTCTAGGGACTGTGTCGTACGCCTTCTTAAGATTTCTTAAGACCTGTGAATATCAACTGTAGCTCACTTTTCTTCTTGCTCTTTTTCTCTATCAACTGTCTTAAAGCAAACGAGGCATCCGTTACCTCCTTTATAACATAAACCCATACTGTTCTTCTCTTATTGATTCTTCTCTTCTTAATCTTCGTTCTTCAGTTCTCTCCCAAATTTTCATTGTGTGCTACATTAACTTTATCTCTCTATAGCGCTTACAGTTCTGAATATCCTCTTTTTCTTTATAGAATGGTACCATCACACTCTCTCTCCATGCATGGGGCATAATTTCTTTTTCATATATCCTACTTATCATTTACCACAAAATATCAACCACTTCCTCACCTAGCGCCTTCCAAACCTCCACAGGTGGTTCATCAGATCCTACTGCCTTACCATTCTTCATCCTATTTAAGCTTCGACAACTTTATCTCTCTCTATCACCGCTTTTATATTCTTATTTGACATCCCGCATCCTCTGTCCCTCCTGTGGTGTTCTTCATTTAGCAACTTTCTAAACTACCCATATTTTCATATTTTCTTAGCAATAGCTAGAGCGCGTTTTGCTCTACTCTTTGCTACCTTGTATATATGCTTATCGTCCTCTCTTTTAGACCTGTCGTACCTCTTTCTAGCTTCTTTTTTCTCTCTAACCTTCTGTTGCACTTCATCGTGATGTTATCGTGATTTATCTAAGATTTTTTATAACTAAATATAATAGTTTTTGGTTGCTCCTACAGTCTTCTTCTAGGTTTTCCCCAAAATCTTTTGAAGATCAAATATTTTTCTGTTACAAATGTTACATTTTTTACAGTTTTCCTCTGCATTTTATTTTTGATTTGTTTTATAGCTTTAATTACAGTTTTGATCTGTTTTCTAACTTAAATATTTTCTTTATATTACATTATCATTTTTAATTGTAATTAACGCCTAATTTCATCTATCCACCATACAGTCATTTTCTTCTCTTCTATTTCTTCTTTTATATAGACATGACTGTCTGTTTTTCGATGTGCCATTAGTAAGTTGTGGTTTCATCGTTTTCGTGGTCTTCCTACTATTTGTTATCATTGGGCTTATATGATCGTTTCATTACACTCTTCTACTTCTTACCCAGTTCTCCACCTTGTTTGTACGTCGTATATATGTACTTCTAGCTTTGTCCCATAGTGTCTTGCCCTCAATGACAGTTATTTCGTAATGTATTATAATTTGTAATAAATAAGGTGTGAAAAATAAATTTCAAAATTTCTTTGTAGTAATTGCTTTTTCTAGTCTAGTAAAAATATTCCAACATCATGTACTGACATTTCTTTTAATAGCATGTTTTTCCATCCTTAACAACAAATAATAGAAGTCTAAAAACTATTCCTGAATATTTAATGTTTTTCTGTCTTCTTCATTATCGATATTTTCAAACCTTTCGACTTTACATTAAACAAATATTGTCATCATCAAACATTATCTTACGTTCTCAAGGTTACAGAACAACTAACAGACAAAAGGTAGAAAGCACGATAACTGCCTATTTCATCCCCTACCAACTTAAAAAATAATGAAAACAGCTCGGGTCTGACAGATTATCCCGAGTATATAATAACGTAATGTCAAATTTATTACATTTGGCTATTTCACACTATGTTACTTGTATGAATATTTTCATTAGAAACAGTATTTTATGGAACATTTTTAAAGCAATTAATTTAACATTTTTAGAAAAATTTGGAGGAAATGTTGGCCTGGCTTTAACCCAATCAATGAGTCTCACTGGAATGTTTCAATACGGCATTAGGCAGTGGAGTGAATTAGAAAATCAAATGACTTCTGTAGAGAGGGTCCAAGAATATACAGATCTAACGAAAGAAATTGAAGAAGGTGTAGATCCTCCTAAAACTTGGCCAGAACGGGGGCAAATTGTTTTCAACAAATTATCCTTAGGGTTAGTATAAAAATAGTAAATAAACACTGACAAATACAGTTTTCAAAATTATCATAAATTAAGTATTAACAAGACAGATGTGTCGGTATCATAGTTTTTTCAATGGAAGTGCATCTTATTGGAATTAGATTGTGTCACGCGATCCCTTCAACTATTTAAAAAAATTGAGGGTGTGGTTATAATCTAATGATTTATTGAAAATCACCGAAACTTTGATACCGTTAGATAGAGAAGAAATTTAAAAATCGACGTGTGTGAGCGATTTTGTTTTAACTTTAAAATAAACTAGTTGACAAGGGATCTAAGACATTAATCACTCACTGTATAAACGTGTGTATGATTATTTATAGGTAAGAAATGAATACATTTAGAACTGACGAAATATGTTTCTTAAAATAGGAACATATTAACATCCATCATAACAGTGTGGTGCTTTATTTATAATTTTCATTAAGAGTTTTCAGACTTAGATCAAACCCATTAAACGCTAACATATTAATTTTTAATCGGTTTTCTATACGTTTGCTTTCAATTTTTCAGGTACTCCAATACGTTACCTTTGGTTCTAAAAAACCTTAGTTTTATTGTAAACCCGAAAGAAAAGATTGGCATCGTCGGAAGAACTGGAGCTGGAAAATCCTCTATTGTTCAAGCAATGTTTCGGTTGACTTCTACAGATGGTAGCATTATTATTGATGGAATTGACTCAAAATTAATCCCATTAAGTAAAGTGAGGTCAAAGATATCCATTATACCTCAAGAACCAGTACTGTTTTCTGGTACCGTTAGGTATAACTTGGATCCGTTTAACGAATATCCTGATGAGGTAAGCAAAAAGTTTAGCCCTAGTTTAGTTGCTAAATTATTTTAGTGATTTGGAAACCATATTTTGTATTCCTTTTCCTTCTTAAAATAGGCTACTTCCGCTTCTTAAAATAGTTGCATTACAAAGGGTGCAGATTATCAAATCAAGCGTCTCGTTAATTATTCCACATTTTGCCTTTTGCAGAAGATTTTTCATGCTATAATTATTATTTTATTTTCTTTCCAACATTTTACTTTTCTTTGTTTTTTGTATTTGAAAAAAATATAAACACATTCCGAAAAGTTTATAATAGTTTTAACATACAACATTTATTTTATGGCGTTTCATTAAGTTCTTTTTTATGTACCTATATCTGGTTCTGCTTTAAACACTATTTCATTCATATGATTGCTATCTTGTAGAGACTTTCTATTTAATTAGTGTTTTATACTTTTTTAATGCAATACCACGTAATTGTGATGGTTGTTTTTTTTATCTATTATCCAAGATTTCTGTACCTTACTTTCTGCCACACGTTTTTAATCATATTCTGTATATTTTCTTGTTACTGAAAATATGTTTAAATATCTTTCCAGGTCAAATTTATTATGAATACCAACACTAACATTGGGAAACATATATCTTTTGATATCTTATATTGTTTACTGTAGATAAAATGTACTACAAACTATCTATGAAGTTGTCGATATCATATTTAAATTTTTTTTTAGATATTATGGAAGGCTCTGGAAGATACAGAGCTTAAATATGTTGTCAGTGACCTTCCTGAAGGCCTGGACAATAAAATGGCAGAAGGTGGTATTAATTTTAGTGTAGGACAACGCCAGCTATTTTGTTTAGCTAGAGCCATAGTTCGCCAGAACAAAATACTAGTTTTGGATGAAGCTACAGCTAATGTTGATCTTCATACAGATGCACTTATTCAAAAAACTATTAGGAAGAAATTTGTAGACTGCACAGTAATAACTGTGGCTCATAGGTTGCACACGATTATGGATTCAGATAAAGTAAGTCAAAATTTTATGTGCTATACCGGGTATATTTTCGAAGTGAGAATATGTTGTATTTAGATTTGGCCGTTTTTTTCGGTCCGTACGGCACTTTTTGGCACTACTGCAGTCGCCGTTGGGTCGAAGTATATATTTTAGTATTTAGGATTATAAGTATATAATTCACTTCTGGACAATTCATCCGCTATTTCATTTCTGTATATTTACCAAATACCTATGTATACACATACCAGTCTAACACAGATATGTTCCGTCAATCTGTCTATTTCTTATTAGCATTTCCACACTAACCTGGAGTCCCTTTAGGGTTTCTAAGAGCCCCTATAAACTTTTGACTATCTGTGTATGTATTGATCCACTTTAGTTTGAAAGTTTATAAGTTAATTTCTCTTGCACAATGCAAGAATGCATAAATTTTTGCACATAAATGTTAACATTTCTATTAATTTCAGGTATTTATAGGTATATTGTATATTATAGAAGGTGTCCACAGAAATGTAAATATACCTTTGTAATACCTGATAAATAGAAATGTTTTCATTTCCATCACTACTTAACATTTCTGCAAGACTTACTTACTTAACGATGTGCAAACTACGGAATCCAGTAAAGCCTTTATAGATGCTACTGATGTACCACTCACAGACTGGCTGGTTTGAAGTAAGCAAGTATTTGCACCTTATTTAGTTTAAAAATAGCATTTCATCTAAAGTTTTGCCACTCTTCCAATGATGCTTGTATAATTGTTGGTTTTAATGGTTTAAATCCATTATCCACGTTTCTCGTTTTAAATATCATATGAGTTTATCTACAAGATTTTAATTGGTACCACTTAGACTTAGAGGACTCAATCCCTCTTAATTTTTTCTACTGGTAAATTTTATGGTTATGGATTACGCTGATAGTGTTTCCCATACTAACGTTATGTATATCATCCGACTTTTTAATATGCTGTCGATCCATTTGCATCTTTTTCGTCTATTTATTTTAGACAAATCGCTCCTGTAACTACTTGGCAGGAGGTTTTGTGAGTAACGCATTTAACAACACTTCTTGGTTTTCCAGAACGTACTTCACCGTCTGTACAATATTTTGCAGTGCTGTTTTTGAAGAGAATCATATCTTATTGCCCCTAAATGATCGAACTTGCAACCAAAATACCACCCTTAATATGCCTGTTGAGCAGTTTTTGTGGAATATTTAGTACAAATGAAATTAGGCTTATCGGTTTAGGGACTAGGTTTTTTCCTGCTCGGTTTTACCAGCTTTGAGTATATGAACTACTTTTATGAGCCTCGATGCCTTTGGTATCTACTCCAATCCTATGCTAGTTGGTTATATCTTACATAACTTTTCGTATAAAGAGTCATATCTTGATCTACCACTTCTTTTGTCACATGCCAGTTTTTCCCAGAACTATCAGCAAAGTTATGTTTTCCAATGTCCTGTCACGTATCTAGTAGTATTAGTAGTGTTTTAAATTCATAAAAGTGCACCTTGAAAAGATCTCTAAGACCATTTCATCAACCTGAGTTACCTGACTTCTTTGAAATGGAATACTTATCTGAAGGTCATTGGAGAGAAACTTTATGGACACTTAAAAGATCATTGACATGTCTGCAGTCTATTTTATATCCTCGTACTGCCTGCTTTACGGTTACATTTTTGCCCCTCTGTTTTTTAATATAATACTCAGTCAAAGTTTTGCCATAATCGTTATACTTCTCACATCTTAGCGAAGTTAAATTTTTGTCTTCCTCCTGTCCTTTGATTTGCAATGTTAGAATTCCTTTCCTGTTAGAATTTTTTACTATTTCCGAACAATAATTATTGTCTTCGAACGCCGACATCTTGAAATTTTCGATAGCTATGTTTAGGCAGAGTGTATGACTGAAAGCACTAGTAGCTTAATTAGTATAGTCTATACATAAAAAAATATTTGAAATCTTTAAAAAGGTTCTGAAACTATTTTCTTGTGACATGTCTAAGTTAAATATTACGTTTATATGTGGTTAAGCCACAACTGATTATAATGAAAATTACATTTTTAAATAACGTTTCACGTTTTTATTTCCACACCGGAAATTGTTTTCAAAAAAGATATTTAAAAGATTGTGCGAAAAGTATAACCATCAAAGTTGTTAAGTTGGTTTATATTTTTCATAACTGACGGTTGGCTTTGATTTTGTAGGTAATAGCATTTACTTGGTGGGTGACAAAAATCTGAGCATGGTGACTTTATCCGAAAATTATCAAATTCACACGTTTTGTGTTTTATCGTTTTCTTGATTTGTATAATGCATGTTTAACGTAAATTTTATGTGTCGGTATTGTGTATTGCATATGTATTGTGTATTGCATATGTATTGTGTATAATTATTATAGATGATTTCTGCGGCTTCATTTATTCTGTCTTATTGATATGTTCTTGTTGTTGACTTCTTCTTTTAGTATTGGCAACCAAAGCCTGCTTCATTCTGCTGATGGGTTTTGCTACACATTTTGCTGCATAAAGTAGAATAACTGCTGGTTCTTTGATTTTTCTCTTTTTTTATGTCTGTTTCTTTCATAATTATTTATGCTTTTTTCCATTGTACTCTGTGCTTGTTATCCCTGGTATGTTTTCAAGATTTGGCTATGTTCTCTGTTTGTGATGTATGTTATTCTAACACCTAGTAGTCTTGCGGATTCTCCCATACAGAAATTTTTGCATTCACGGGGTATTCACAGATGCAGTTCTTTGATCTCTTTGATCTTTGGTTGTTTTAAATTTTCTTGTGATGTACTATTTCCTATCCTTTTTCAATTTTCTGATAAGTCCTTTACATATGGCATTATTTAATCTTGTGAAATTTCTTGTTTATAAATGACCATAGGTAGTTATTTTTTGTCAAAACTTTGGTTAGCAGGTTTTTTTCGTCCTCAAATTGCGTTTTCATTGGAACTGGTGTTTCGGGCTCTATCAAACATATTATAATTATTTGATAATTCCTTTTTTGAATTTTACCTCGTGATTTAAGTGGTAATTTAAATATCTGTTCGTATGGGTGGGTTTTCTGATATCCAGAAAATTTAGTGAATTTTTGTTTTGTTTTTCCATGGTGAATTTAATGAAATATTCTTTGTATTTAATGCCCATGAGAAATGTATCCAATGCTTCTGGTTCGTAAGGCTAAATGAAAAGTACATAATATCTCCATATTATGGAGATATCTCTCGGAATACTTCACCAAAATGTAGGTTGTTTGTCTTGCTTGTGTACAATGTTTTGTTAAAAATCCTCTATGTTATTCCTTAAATTGCATTAGTGTTTTATATACTTTGTTTTCCAGTGATTTGGTTGGATCCTTTTTCAGTTTTATTTTCTCCTGATATTTATTCTTGTCTATAATTAGAGTTTCGTAGTCCTTGTCGGCTAGTAATATTATTAGGGACTCATCTTGTTTTAGAGTTTTGACAGCTTTGAGTTGCTTTTTACTGACATTTGCTATTAATCATGTGTTTTTCTCCAGTTCTTTTTTGCATAGTACTCTATGTTCTTTATTTTTGTGTGCTGGTAGTACTTGACAGCTTTTTTTAACTGCAGTGACTATGTCAAGTTTAAGAACTGTTAAGTGTTTTACATCATAATTTAAAGCTTTTAGGAGCATCAGATCCTCTGTTGCGTTCCTCTGCCTTTTAGATTGATAATTGTTGTTTTGTTTACATTATCTTGTTAGGTTACTGTATTTGTTGTTACGGATCTTTACATAACTAGAGGTACCCAAAAAGAGGAAAAAGTTATATGTAACAATAAAGTTAGATGTCCGGTGAAAATTAGAATAATCCTGTTATGCAATGTTATCGTAGTCTCAGATATAATCATTCGTGCTCACCATGTAAATGAAAAAAAAAAAGATGAAGGAATTTAAAAAGTTATATAATATGATTGTCACTCTTGTAATAAATTATGCGTCATTTGTAAAAATAATAGTCACAATTATGTTTCACAGAAGCAAATGAGAAACAAAGAAGCTAAAGTTAATTTAAATACAAAGTGGACCAAAAGTCTGAAACCGCCTAATTATCTCTAAAATAGATGGTCCGAATTATACAAAAACAGGGAGATAGTTATTCTGCAATATGAAGATTTGAAATTTGATGCTTGTAATGTTGCCAGATTTACCATTTTTCTAATAACATTAGCCTCTTTGTTTTTTTTAATACAACACCTTGTATGTTTATGAAAATCTGCACTTCAATACCAGTTCAACCGTGTACAATACTTTTAATTTTATGTACTCCCAAACATCTTAAAATGATTGAGCCACAGCTTATACACGCCTAATCGTCTCAATATTTTTTTTGATTTAAACTATATACAACTAAATTTGAACTTAATAACCAACTAAAACGAGCTGGAGCTCCGTTTTGCTAAAACCATATATCAATAAAATTGGCTCCAACTTGTTTTTCAGAGCAGGTATAATTTCATTTCTAAGTAGCATTTAAATTTCCTTCTATAAAAACAGTCCAATTAACCAAGTACCCACTACACCTGAACATACATTTAGTTTTTGTGATCTTTGAGTATGATTTTCATGTATCCAGTGCAGATTTACTTCTCGTTAGTTACAATTTATTTATCCACCTTCCTAAATTATAATCTACGGTTGTAGTGGTCTTCCTTTCTGGATGAGTCTTCCAACTGAATTTTGTACGATTTAAATGTATTTGTGCAGCCCAAACTAACTAATATTATTCTATCTAATAACAAATAGGAAGCGCAATCAAACACTCTCCTCAGCTCTCAATATGTTTTGCCGCTGCGAAATTTCTAGCACTAACATGAATAAACTCTACACATCGTTAAAACGCCGAAGTGGCTCTCAAGCAACAGTCAGTAAGTTATCGGGTTGACTGAAACCGACGCTCGTCGAAGAGATCCATTTCACACTTGGAATCCCTCCATCACATCAGAAAACAGGTTAATTGTTCTATGGCAATATATGTACTTATCCAACCATTGAAATAATAGGATTTAAGTTGTTGGTGTCCTGGACACGAATTTGAAGTGATCAATCTAAGTTTGAGATGTATGCTGGTAATACACAAAGTAGAGTTATATGAATGCCAGAGGAAGAATATCACAAAGATTACCTCAAAAGAAAGATAAAGTTTGTGATAATTTGGGGTGTATGCCCTCTCAAGGAGTTGGAGATAGCTCCTTTTCATTAACGGCACTGTCAATACTGCGAAGTATAAAAGTATTTTACAAGAAGAATTATTGTCTTTCATTAATAAAATTTAATTTCATATATTTCAAAAAGATAGCGCAGCCATATCATCAGCAAAATCCATAACATCAAGGTTGAAGGATATAAATATTACTGTTTAAAGCTTTATACGGATTCTCCTTGTAAGATTAACACTTTTAATTATTTCTAGGTATTGGTTATGGATGCTGGAGAAATCCTAGAATATGATAGTCCTCATATTCTTTTACAAAACACAAACGGTGTTTTCTATTCCTTACTGATGCAGACCGGAATAAATACAGCTCAGAACCTAATAGAAGTTGCCAAAAAAGCTTATATACTACGTCAAGATGCGATTTCAAGTAGCTGAATATTTCCTTATATTTTAAAGGATATTTATGTGAAAAAATTTAATTTAAATTAAAATTCTAATTTATTTTGAATTACATAACTGAAGTATTTCTAGATATAATTAAAAAAACATATTGTTCAAAAAGACAGCAATATTATCCATTGAACTTATTAAAACATCTTATTAAAGTATGTATATAAGTTTATCTTACAAAAAAACATCATGGAAATATTTTAAAATGATTTTTATGTTCAAAACTATTTGTTAGTGAATATATTGTTGTTGTTGTAATAAGTGAATATTTGTTGCTGTATACTGTTTCATTATGAGTCTCTTTAAATGTTACATTAGTTACAAAAAACTGAAACAAGTAATGAACGAAGAAAATCCTTATTTGTTTATAAATGTAAAAAATGACGACTTGATATTTAAAATAAATATCAAGTGAATATATTTTATTTATTGTTTGAATAAAGAATTTTATAGATAAATGTCTTTTTTTTAATAATAGCAACACTTAACTATATAATAATAGGATGACAATACATCATATCCTTACAAAATTTAACCATTAAAAATATCCACGAGCAAAGCAATCATCATCATTTCCAAGTGTCAAATAACTGTCAAAGTGTGGATACGCATTATTAAATACTCTCCGCGTTTTAAAGTTTATTTCATTGAATTTAAAGCAATACCGAGTAGTCTAAAATTATTTTATTCGGCTAGTTTTTTTTTTAAATTGTAGTGTTTAATAAACACATAATCGCCTAGTGCTCAAAAATTTGTTACCGTCCCCTATGGGGACTGGAATTGACTCAAGACGCTTTTAAGTGCCTCTAACAATATTGTTAGGTCATCTGAAGTAATGGAGCCTGAAGAAAACGTGGTACCGTTAAAAAATAGAGGATTTAACGTAAACTCAGATAAGTATAACCTTGAAAAAATAATAAAATATTTGTGTATATTGAAAGGATAGATAACACCGATCTTGGTCGCTTACATCCAATTACAATAGGTCATATTTTGTACAAAAAACTAGGAATTTCTAATATATTTCAAGTAAGGGCAATTGGTAGAAACAGAATTAAGGTAGTAGTAGCTTCTATACATGATAATATAATGAAATAATCTTATAAATAATAGTAAACTAAAGGAAGAAAATTTAAAACCTGGTCACTTATTAGAAAGCAAGAGTTTAATTATTCGGGATGTTGATACTCAGTTTAATACTGTATATTTACAAGAAAATATTGAATCTCTTTCACGTATATTGAATATTAAACGTATGAATAGAAAAGTTGAATAAAATGGTACAATTGAGTATGTTGCAAAACGAACTGTTATTGTAGCTTTTGAAGGTAATATATTGCCTCAGTATGTTATTACAAATCGAGTTTTTTGTCCAGTCGAACAATTTGTAGGTAGGTTTACTCAGTGTTATAGGTGTTTGAGATACGGTCACATTTCAAAACAGTGTAGAAGTTCTCAAAATCTATGTATTTAATGTGGAGATAATAAAGACGAAAATCATTCTTAAGAAAATTTTGGCATTGGTTGCATTCACTGTAATAGTACTGCACATGTTTCGGTTTCAAAAAGTTGTCCTTCTTACCAAAAACAACAAAAAATTAAAAATATTATGATGAAAAATAAAATTTTGCTTTACCGAGGCCAAGGAAATTAGGTAATGAAAACTCGTATTCAGAGGCCCTAGGGCAAAATAAGTTTTCAATTTTATCGAACTACGATAAAAATTTTCCTAATACTAGGTACACAAAATAAAATATCCCTAACATCTGCGCAATCTACTTCTAATGCAGTTACGAGTACCAATTTTAATCCAACTTTTCGCCAAAACTTAAACAATTAATCAGTTCCTAACAAAAAGAGGAAAGCCAATTCTTCTCCTACTGTATCTTCTAACTCTGTTCAGCCACCTCCCATGTTTAACTTCAGATTTGGACCATCTCAACCACTACCTTCTAATCCACGCCGTTCCGCTTCTCACAGTGGAGAAAGGGAGAACCAAGATATTGCTCGAGCTATGACTAACTTTGTAATTAGTTTTTTTTTAAATATACGTACATTGGACGATTTGAACTCTTTAGATAATGAAATAATAAATCATGAAATTACTTCGGTATTGTAGGGTACAAAAAAGGTTACATAATTTTATCTCTCTTAAATAGATTAAAAATCATGCAATGGAATTGTAGATCTGCTGTCGCCAATAAAAACAGTTTAACACATTTTTTAAATGAAAATGATATTGATGTTGCCTTGTTGAGTGAGACATGGTTTAAACCCGATAAACAATAATATATATTTTTAGAGGTTATAAGATTATTCGTCGCGACCGATATGACGGTTACGCGGGAGTGGCTATACTTATAAAATCAATTCTTCTTTTTGAATGACGATACACTTGTTTGTGGAATCACTTTAAAATTTAATAACTCTGATATTAATTTTGCTTCAATTTATATACCTCCAGATATTCGATTGACTTCCAAAGATTGGTGTAAAATTTTGGAACAATTTAATTTTCCTTACATTATAAGTGGTGATATGAATGCGCATAACAACTTGTGGGGTTCCTTTTATAACGAAAATATTTTGCCTACCACATGGGGTAAGATTATGGGGGTAGAGAGAGGGCAAGCATTATTTTTTAACTGCTACATATTTCAAAAAAAGAATACAACAAATTTGACGTATGAATATGCGGATCCATACTTGCAATCCACACAGCAAACTGCTCGGCGACCCAAGCATGAATGAAGAATTTAAATATTCGTTCATATAACTTGAAAACAAACGCTAAAATAACAAAACACAACGAAACAACGTAGAGGATTCCATTTGCGACGTATAAAAATTATAACGCGGCTTCGAATAAAACATTAAAAGAAATTGCCGAAGTAAATATCTTTAAAATAATAAACAACTCTGAAATGGTTTATTACTTGGCGACGCTGGAAAGAACGAAATATTATTTGGGTTTTAAATTGAACGACATGAATGAAAGATACATTAAAAGATTTTCAAACACATATAAGGCGATTTCAATATATTACATATACGAGAGGATTTCAATATACACCACAAAATCAATGAAATCGTAAATGCTACAATATCAATGAAATCGTAAATGCTACAACTTAAGAATGATAGAATTGGGCACCAACTTATTAATGCTATTGATACTCTTGATTTAGTTGTTCTTAATAATGGCAAAGCAACCTGTTTGACCCGCCCGGATGTGAAACAATCTAGTGTTGATATTACGTTTTGCTCTCCTGATTTAGCAAAAGAAATTATTTGGGACGTCTTGGATGACACATTGGGATCGAATCATTATAGAGTTCACATGAATTATTCTTCAGTTATTTCTCGTAATGAATACATCCTTCCAAAGTCCAAATGGAATGTTAATAAAACTAATTGGACCCAATATTCTGATCTGATTGAACAAAACTTTCTTAACTATTCGGACAGCTGGTCTACCTCAGTGAAATATGACTTCCTAATGGAAAGTGTTATTATTGCATCTTCTCAATCCATTCCGACATATAAACCCTTTAAAATTATTAAACGACCACCTCCTCCGTGGTGGGATTTCGAATGTGAACAAGTTGTTTCTGACAGGAAAGATGCTTTAAAAACATATAAATATAACTCTAGTTTCACTAATTACGTACGATGTCAGGAAGTAATGGCTAAAACAAAAACAGTTCTAAAACGAAAAGCCAAAGAAAGTTGGAAAAACTGGATGGCTATTAAAAATGTATGGAATGAAGCAAGGAAAATGCAAAGGAAGTATACTCCAAGTATTAATCATTTTAATGATGAATTGATTGAAGATTTTTTTTAAAAATATCACCCCTATCAGTTAATACTGCTATAGAAATTTAAAATAATACTATAACTTTAAGTCACTTTCTTCTAAATCCATTTACACAGGAAGAACTTGACTTTGCGCTAACTAATAGGTCTAACACCGCTCCGGGCTGCGATGATAATAAATATCCTATGCTTAAAAAACTTCCAAATATAGCGAAAAACGTATTACCTGATATTTTTAATGATATTGTTTTTAAAAATGCAAAAACTGATGTATTAAGAACTGTTATTGTCATACCAATCCTTAAACCAAATAAAGATCCCAACTTGGTACAATCATATAGGCCAATCTCTGATGTCGTGTGTTTTGGAGACTTTGGAAAGAATTATCAAAGTGAGACTAGAATGGTGGATAACTCATAATAAATTAGCTTGTCAAAATCAGTTCTCTGTTAAAAAAGGGGTTGGTTCTCTAGATGCTCTTAGTACTCTCGTGGTAGACATAAACAATAATTTTGGCAGAAACTATTACCTTTCTGCGGTGTTTATAGACGTAGAAAGTGCGTATGATAATATATGCCTCCCCATTTAAAGAGATAAGATGTTGAAATTATTTTATATTCCAAACCAGGTAGTCAACATAATTATTAAATTCTACACTAATAGAAAAATATTTTTAAGAAATTTTGATAACACAATTGTAGGTGCAAGAAATAACAACAACGGATTTCCACGAGGCTTAGTTTTAAGCCCTTTTCTGTTTAATTTGTATACTGCTGACTTACATCAATTAAGTTAAGGCATTGTTTCTAAATATAAAGATTTTAAAACCTTCATATAGCGATAATTTTCACATTAACATTAACTTATTATACTCAATACTTGCAAGCTTCGTGGAATCTGTGGCATTATATACCGATGTTTCAAAGTCCAAGGAATTATTCCTAAAAACTGGATAACATATTTTCTATATTTAGTGCTGAAGCTATTGCAATCTACGAAGCGTTAACATTTTTATCACAGTCTACAATTTTTTTTTATTAATTTATTTAATATCGTCCGAACCACTGGAGTTATAGACGACAGCAATAGAAAATACATATTATAACAAAGAAAGGTTAATATTAATTACGTACTAACATTAAATAAGATTAATATATGTAATATAAGTCCAGACTAGATATTAATTTAAATATCTTTTGTGCCTATAGCCGTTAAAAACTTTATAATATTGTGTAGATTATTGTTATCTCTAAGAAGGTCGCCTATGTCGCTGGGAAAGTTGAGTTGATTCGAAGTCGAGAAAAGATGACTTGTTTTTTCCTAGGTAACACAAAGGCTTGTTTTTGTAAAACATTGTCTTTAATTTGCCTTAGTTTTTCGGAACACTGCGATCATTTGTTTTGCCACGCACTACTAACTATGTTTTTTAAGCACAATTTAAGATTACTTGGCACTATTTTATTTAATTGCACTTGACCATCACTTATCGCTGCTTCGTGAGCTAGACGGTCCACAACCTCGTTACCGTGTATTCCAATATGAGATGGAACCCAGATTAATACCACATGTTTGTTTTCCTTTGCAGCATTTTGAAGTTCTTTGTAAATGTCTTTATGAATAGGATTGCTGGAGTATATGT